AAGCAGCGTCATGTTCAAGTGGATTTTGCAACTAAAAAAAAACCACGCAAATCTAAAACTTCTTGAATTCAAGCATTTTTTGAGAAAACTGCAACTGGAAAACAAGAAATTTTGTAATAATCTTACGCCACCCTTGCACAAAACGACGATAATTTTTCTAATTTCATAGACAACAGAAGACTATTCCACCCTCTTAAAATTAAAATAAATTAGCTCCAAGCAGAACATTGCGATAGCCACCGTATGCCCGACTAAGAGCATGCGGAACGTGGTGCTGAAGAACGAGAGTGGAGTGTTGTGGTATGAAGACCGATAAAACCACTTCCCCCGCTTCGATGGATTCACTTTATAGTCGAAAGTCCTCAATATCACCCCATGGAGGCCTGCTTGGAACATCCGGGCTAAAGTGGCGTCGATCTGGGGCAAGAAGGGCGATCCAAAGGTAACAGGAAAAGTGGCCCAAGCTGGCACCAGACTCTCGCGCAAAGTGATGAAGCACTTCATTTTCTTTCGGATTAGTGTTAGCCGCAATTTAGTCGCCCATAGCTGCTCCATTACAGCTCCTTGAGGATTGCAGAAGTCAAACTGCGAAAACATCAAAGCAGCATCATCCGATTCCATTACATCCAAGCGGGAATTGTTGAGAGCAGCAAACGTCGCTCCATCCAAAACATCCCGCAGCGTCTTCTGCAGCCGGTTGCTAACTTTTAGCTGACATGATTCAGCGGAAACCAGTTGCTGCACTGTTTTCGCGATCTTCGGATGCACTGGTACGGTAACGGCTTTCGTCAGCATGCAGAACCAGCTGGCGTTGATGAAGAAACACACCACCATAAGGGACATCAGGACTATCTTGATCTTCAGGGGCCTTGCCGTCCAGTGGCTTACCACTTGGTTCATGTGCAGGCTCAGCATGATCGTGCATATTTCTTCGTTCGGAAGGCTTCGCACGAAGATCTTCAAGTAAAGTGCCACCGCTAGGAAGCAGGAAACTGCAATGTAGATGAGCACTGAAGAATAATAGGCTTTCAGGAATTTTGCTTGGGCGTAATCGAACGGCAGGACAGCCACTATGTTGTCCTGGTAGTTTGGATACGAGCTTTCAAGCTGGAAAAGGACATTTGGGGTGCGATTTTGATGGAAAATGTATTTTTACCAAGCGTTTGTTGATCAGTTCTTGTAGCTTGAATGTTAAGGGCCTGCCGTTAAATGACGCTGCGGCACGCCCGGTTGATACTTCGCGAAGAATCCCGGTTAGAGGAATGTCTTCATATCCATAATCCCTATCCGTTTCTTCCGAGTACCGAACTAGATAAAAATTGCTTGGTTTCAAGTAGATGTTGAAGTACACGATTCAATTGAAAGTGACCGATTTTTTAGCCTTAAAGAAAAATGCACTGTTGAGTTCCGGCCGTTGCAGAAAAACAGTTTTTTAGTTTAATGGCTTACGCTAGTGTTAAACTGACGGGAAAATGTTAAAAATACAGGGTGATGCAAAATTGGCGTCGTTCCTTTTAAGGGGTAATAGGGGCTCACTTGGAGGGTACGAGAAACATTTTTTTAAATATATTTTATATAGACTCAGAGGAACAAGTATTGGATATAATTGCAGAAGATCCTTCCAGGGCACTCAGAACATTGCACAACCACTGACACTTTCCCAGGCACCAAATAAATACCACCTACATTCCTAGCACGTGTGTAAGATCACATTAAACCAATGGATTACTGAACACCGGTACCAATTGAGCAGGAGTTAATTAACCGAATAGGAGAAGCTGCTCGAGAATAATGCATAATAAGGTGATTACACAGCAAGGGCGGATCCAGGGGGAGGGGTCATGGGGGTCATAACCCCCCCATTCAATTCTCTATCCAACGATGCCAAAACGAATTCTGTGGCTCGAATGGTTCTTGAGAAACTTCGAAAAAAGCAGCGTCTTGTTCAAGTGGATTT